GGGTGGTGTTTGGTAAATTGTTTCATGATAGCATACAGGAATGCAAATGAATACAGCTCCTGTCTATCACTAGATGTGATGTTTCACTTTCCTGTATGAATCATATATTTCATTATTCCTCATCAGGTACCTTCAACATATCCAAAAAATTTCATGACAATCAAAGTCCTTTTTAAAATCATGGGAAAAGTGTTTACTGGCTGAGGAGGGAGGAAGAATGAAAAGTAAGTTGTTGGTGTTGATGAGATTGCTTCATGATGTATAGTCTGAATTATCATCTGATAGTTTATATATTCAAACAAATTTAAAATCCATGGGTTGCTATACATAATGATGACTAGAAAAAGTATTCTGTTTGGTATCTGTGTCAGCCAACATGATCAAACATTATGCATTTCCAGTCACACTCTTGACATGTTGGGATTGGGAGGGTCACTATAAGAGTGATATTTGGTACTGAGCATGGAGAAAGTGTCAGAGTAAAAGTGTTTTCATTCACTTAGAAATAAAATATATGTTAGTTAGTAAGGTGAGAAATCCATCCTCTAGTAAACTACTCTCGACACAGATTTGTACAGGTATTTAATTATTGTTAAAAATGACACTGAAGTGGATTAAATAATATATTTTATTGACATGCAGGTGATCGTTGATTAAAGTTAATACAATTTCAAAGTAAATCACTTATTAAAGTGCAGATGACTAATGGAATAGAAACAATTGTTCCAAGGTTATAAAAAATAAATTCAATTCAAACAAAGTTGGTCAGCAGAAATTCAAGAATCTATTTTTTGTCGAATTAAACTCCCAAATGGTTGCAATAAAAATTTAGTGTACATTTTATACACAAGAACACAAGAACACAAGAACTAGGAGCAGGAGTAGGCCGTCTGGCCCTTCGAGCCTGCTCCGTCATTCAATAAGATCATGGCTGATCCTTTCGTGGACTCAGATCCACTTACCCGTGTTCTCACCGTATCCCTTAATTCCTTCATTGTTCAAAAAAAATCTACTTTTTTTTTTAAAAGCGTTTACTGAAGTAGCGTCAACTACTTCACTGGGCAAGGAATTCCATAGATTAACAACCCCCTGGGTGAAGAAATTCCTTCTCAGTTCAGTCCTAAATCTGCTCCCTCTAATCTTGAGGCTATGCCCTCTTGTCCTAGCTTCACCTGCCAGTGGAAACATCCTCTCTACTTCTATCTTATCTATTCCCTTCATAATTTTATATGTTTCTATAAGATCCCCCCTCAATCTTCTGAATTCCAATGAATATAATCCCAATCTACTCAGTCTCTCCTCATAAGCCAACCCCCTCAACTCCGGAATCAACCTAGTGAACCTCCTTTGCACCCCGTCCAGTGCCAGTACATCCTTTCTCAAGTAAGGAGACCAAAACTGCACACAGTACTCTAGGTGTGGCCTCACCAGCACCTTGTACAGCTGCAACATAACCTCTCTGCTTTTTATTTCCATCCCTTTAGCAATAAAGGACAAAATTCCATTTGCCTTCCTAATTACTTGTTGTACCTGCAGACCTACCTTCTGTGATTCATGCACAAGGACACCCAGGTCCCTCTGCATAGCAGCATGCTGCAACTTTTTACCATTCAAGTAATAATCCTTTTCACTATTACTCCTACCAAAATGTATGACTTCACATTTATTTACATTGTATTCCATCTGCCAGACCTTTGCCCACTCACTCAATGTATCTATGTTCCTCTGCAAAGTTTCACAGTCCTCTGCACACTTTGCTTTGCCACTCATCTTAGTGTCATCTGCAAACTTTGACACCCTACACGTGGTCCCCAGCTCCAAGTCATCTATATAAATTGTAAATAATTGCGGTCCCAACACTGATCCCTGAGGCACACCACTAGTCACTGACTGCCAGCTAGAATAGCACTCATTTATCCCCACTCTTTGCTTCCTGTTAGTCAACCAATCCTCTATCCATGCTAATACTTTACCCTTAATGCCATGCATCCTTATCTTATGCAGTAGCCTCTTGTGCGGCACCTTGTCAAAGGCCTTTTGGAAGTCTAGATACACCACATCCACTGGGTCCCCATTGTCCACCTCGCTTGTAATGTCTTCATAGGATTCCAAAAGATTTGTCGAGCATGACCTGCCCTTCATGAACCCATGCTGCGTCTGTCCAACGGGACAATTTCTATCAAGATGCCTTGCTATTTCTTCCTTGATAATAGACTCAAGCATCTTCTCCACTACAGATGTTAAGCTAACTGGTCTATAATTCCCCATCTTTTGTCTACTTCCCTTTTTAAACAGTGGCACCACATTTGCTGTTTTCCAATCTGCTGGGACTGCCCCAGAGTCCAGCGAATTTTGGAAAATTACCGCCAGTGCACCTGCTATTTCTCCCACCATCTCTTTTAGTACACTGGGATGCATTCCATCAGGGCCAGGAGACTTATCAATCCTTAGCTCCATTAGCTTGCCCAACACTACCTCTTCCGTAATTATGATTGTTTCCAGGTCCTCACCTACCTTCGTCTCTTTGTCTATTACTGGCATGTTATTAGTGTCCTCCACTGTGAAGACCGATACAAAATACCTGTTCAATGCCTCGGCCATTTCATCATATCCCATAACTAAATTTCCCTTCTCATGCTCTAAAGGGCCAACGTTTACTTTAGCCACTCTTTTTCGTTTTATATATTTATAGAAACTTTTCCTATCTGTCTTTATATTCTGTGCTAGTTTTTCACATGTTCTATCTTACTTTTCCTTATAGCTCTTTTTGTGGGTTTCTGTTGACCTTTAAAGTTTTCCCAATCTTCTAGTTTCATGCTGTTTTTGGCCACTTTGTATGCCTTCTCTTTCAATTTGATAGCCTCCCTTATTTCTTTAGACACCCATGGCAGATTACCCCTTTTCTTACAGTCCTTCCTTTTCATTGGAATATACAACTGGTTTTATTCAATAATTTTAAATTTTAGCAAGAGTAACATTGCCAGGAATCATATTTGTTGAACACAAATAACATCATTTGTAATCTTTTTTAAGTATTTGATGAAAACATCTAAATCTGTAAAATTGTAACATACAAATAAAAGATTAATCTGGTATAAAAGTTAACGTTATGCATTATGATATGAGAAACCCATTGCAGTTTCTTTTGGTTTCTGATGTTAGTTGCTGATTTCTTTAGATATTGACATCCAATGACCGTAAGCAGTCAATGTCTCCAACTTTCAAATAAAACAGAGTTAAAAATAGAAAGCATTGCATATACATGACTTGCCAGTCAGCATTTGAAAAGAGAACATATAAATGAATCTTTCAGATTGAAATCCCCCACAGTCAAAAATGAAAAGTTTTCTGCTTTTCTACATTTTCTGCTTTAGATTCTGATTGGCTCCTTGCCTATTTAGATTGTTTTATTCTGGATTTACAATTACCCTTTCTTTACAGATTCTGAGCAGTTACTTCCCTCTCGTACAGAACTTACAAAGGCGATTGGATAAACAGTTGAAATGAATAATTTGCGGGGACTGGAACTAAATAAATAACTCCTCAAAGAGCCAGCACGATTGAATAGGCTGAACAGCTTCCTCTTTTGTTATATCAGTATATAATGATATGGGTTTGAGGAATATATCTTTTCCCCCTTAAACCTCTCAGACGATGTAACTGTCTGGTTCTCTCTATGTATTCAATACTTGTTTCAAATTTAAACAGTCCATGATCTTACTGTAATCATTTGCTGATCTAGAGTCACTCCTTAATAGAGAGAGAAATTGCTGGATGAAAATAACAAATCAGAAAGTTTAATTATTAACTTGAAAAGCTAATAGGAAATTGAGGATTGAGAGACAAATATAACAAATCTGTGTCTTTCATATACTTACTGGGGAAATGTTCTTTCTCCACAGATGTTGCCAAACCTGGTGAGTATTTCCAGAATTTTCTATTTTTATGCCAAAAGGCCAAAGTTTTGATGCTGGTATGAACAGGAATATTCCAGTTTCTGTATTGTTAATTGAAATTTCTGAAGTTCATTTAAGAAAATGGTTTCCAGTTTAAGTGTTTATACTTTAAACTCAAATTGCTTGAAACTTCTGTCGTATAATTCACTGGTTGCAGTTAATTTCTGTGTCCCTTCAGCCCTCTACTCTGGTGACATACAGCACTGTGATGTGAGATGTTCCAGTTTGTACAATTACACAGGATATCACAGCACAAAAAAAAATATTGCATACAATTCATTGGATGGATCTGCAGTCCAAATTTTCTCAGCAATATCCTTCCCCCGATCTTTAACTCTTTCTGTCAATAATTTGGACTGTCAAAACTTCCAATTGTTGTTTAAATGACCGTTCGTTAATCTTTTCAGACTGAAATGTAACAGTTCCCAACTTCTGTGGCATCTGTCGCCCAGATTCTCCCTAAACACCCAATAATTCCAGGCACAGAATTCTCATTATTTGGAAGTGTTAATTCCTTCAGAGCTTCCATCACCTGACTAATAACTCCCTGCAGAATATCCAGTGCATGGGAGCACAGCAGAGGAACTTATTCATCATTTGTGCTACACACATCAGTAATACTCATCAAAACTGTCTTTGTCCTTTACATACAGCATCAGAGTCACTTCCCCAATTTGATGTGGTACCTCCTATGCTGCACACTTTCCAATCTAGATCTTATTCTGATGATCTTTCCTCTCACTGTTTCAAACCCTTGAAACAATATGCTTTCCAATTCAATATTGGTGAATAGCTTTGCTTGAAAAAGGGTGGCATGGTGGCTCAGTGGTTAGCATTGCTGCCTCACAGCGCCAGGGACCTGGGTTTGATTCCACCCTCAGGTGGCTGTTTGTGTGGAGTTGCACCTTTTCCCTGTGTTTGTGCGGGTCTCCTCCAGGTGCTCTGGTTTCCTCCCACAGTCCAAAGATGTGCAGGTTAGATAGATTGTCCATGCCAAATTGCCAATAGTGTCAGGCTAGGTGGATTAGCCATGAGAAATGCAGAGTCACAGGGATAGGGTGGGGTGTGGATCCAGATGGGATGCTCTTCCAAGGGATGGTACGGGCTGAATGATCTGCTTCTATAGTGTAGGGGTTCTATGAAATGCATTTATAAATGCAATCAGACCTTCATTTCCCTTGTGAAGTCAGCTTGTCACCCACATCAATTTCAATTTTTATGTCCTGGCAATTATTTTCAGTTCCTCCAAACTCTGGAGGGCACTGACTCGTATTGGGTTATAATAGTGACCTTTCTCAGTTTGGATTACATTGTCTCAATAATCTCTGCATTGACTCTTGTTCCTCATTGGTAGTTAATAATTCTGAAACATTGCTACCTAGATTTACATTAGAAACACTGCCTGCAGGGTTTAATTCGTCTGCTTCTGATGGACTCTCTTCTTCATTTGTGATTTTATTTCCTTGCTCCGGGTCATGTGGACCATTTGACTCTCTCTGTAAGGGTTGTGTTTTGAGCTCGGGCTCAGATATGCCCATCAGCTTCAGTTTCGCATTATTGTCCATGACTTCCTGCTGATGGAGCGTGGGCCTGGTCTCCAGAAAGGGTTGAGCTGAAATGAATGAAAATATTAAATCAATCAATTGCATCATAATTGAAAAAAGTATAATTGTGGCCATTAACAGTAAATATGGAATTGTAACATTTTAAGAGATAGTAAGAACTGCAGTTGCTGGAGTCAGAGATAACGCAGTGTGGAGCTGGAGGAACACAGCAGGTCAGGCAGCATCAGAGGAGTAGGAAAGCTGATGTTTCGGGTCGGGACCCTTCTGCAGAAAGCATCAGTTAGCATAAGGTTTTATTGGTATTGGTAACATTTACTAGCAGTAATGAAGCTTACAGGGAGTAGTAGACTTTATTAATTTCAAATGAATTGAAAAGAAAATAATAAATGAATTAACACTGAAGAAAGATGGCAGGGCAGATGATGTGACTGCAGATTTTCTCATGTGCGTCAGTGTGATCTGGCACAAACACGTCTCAGTAATTATCTGTGCTTTAGAAGCACTGAACCATGGAAATGATATAGCACAAAAGGGAGCCATTCAGCCCATTAGCCCATGCTGACCCAAAGACACCCTGATGCCCTTTCTAATCCATATTCCTGCGCATGGCCTATAGTCCTGCAGCTTACAGCAATTAAGGAGCAAATCCAGATACGTTTCAAAACAGTTAAGGGTCTCTGCCTCACCACCAACTCAGGCAGCGAATTCCAGATACCCACCACCCTCTACATAAAAAGGTTTTTCCTCACGTTCCCCTCTAACCTTTCTGCCACTTAGCTTGGATCTGTGACCTCCTTGTCTTTGAACTCTCTACCAAGGGAAACAGTTTCCTTCTGTCTGGTCTATTTCTACCCCTCACAATTTTGCATACCTGAAACATGTCATCCCTCAGCCTTCTCTATTCCAAGGAAAACCACTCCCCATCTCTCCTCGTAGCTACATTTTTCCAGCCTTGGCAACATTCGAGTAAATCTTCTCTGCACTTTCTCCAGAGCAATTACTTCCTTCTTCTAGTATGGTGACCAGAACTGCACACAATATTCCAGATGTGGTCTCACCAGTGTCTTATACAATTTCATCATATATCCCTACTTTTCATTCTATACCTCTGCCAGTGAAGGAGAACATTCCATATGCCTTCTTTACAACCTTATCTACTTGCACGCCAATATCTCTCACTTCATCTACCCCCCTCAGTATATTCCCATTTATTTTGAATTCCCTTTTACCATTTGATCTCCTTCAAAGCATTACCTCACACTTATCAGAGTTGAACACCATCTGCCATTTTCCTGCCCACTCCACCAACACATCTATATTATTTGGAGCTTACAGCTAACTTCTACACTATCCACCATGGCCAATTTTTGTGTTGTCTTCAAATTTCCCAGCTGTACCCACAACCCACACTCAAGTCCACATCGTTAATGTATAAATCCAATGGCAGGGATCCCAACACCGAGCCCCATGGAATACCACTTGAAACAGCTTTCCATTTGCAAGGGCAGCCATTAACCGTTACCCTTTGTTGCCTGTTAATAAGCCAACTTTGAATCCAATTTAACACTACCATGTATCCCAAGGGCTTTTACTTTTTTGACCTATCTACGATGTGGGACCTTGTCAAATGCCTTACTAAAATCCATTGAGGCAGCATCAACTGCAATACTCTCATCGATCCTCCTTGTCACTTTCTCAAAGAATTCAATCAAATTTGTCAGCAATGACCTTCCCTTAACAAAGCCATACTGACTATGCCTGACTAGTCCATATCTTTCTAAGTAACAGTATACGTGACCTCAGGATTAATTCTAACAAGTTGCCCACAACTGAAGTAAGACTAACTGGCCTATAATTGTTTGGCATTTCCTTTTTAAACAACGGCGCTACATTTGCATTCCTCCAGTCACAGAGTCATATAGTTCAACTCGTCCAAGTCAAGCAAATTTCCCAAAATGTACATATAGTAGATGTAATGCAATAAAACTTCACCAGGCTAATTCCTGGGAGGAAAGGATTGCTTTAGGAAGTAAAGTCAGCCGGATTTGGCCTTTATTCTCTTGAGTTTGGAAGAATGTGAGTTGACCTCTTTAAAAAAAAGCACATTCTTGCAGGCTTTGACAGGGTAAATGAGGTTAGAAATTAAGGACTGTGGGACTCAGTCTCAGAATAAAAGGTAAATCATTGAAGACTGAGATGGGGAAGACTTCTTTCATTCGGAGCCCGGTGATTCATTGAAATTCACTGTCCTAGAAGGCTGGGGATGCTCAATAGTTGAGTTTGTTGAGACTGACATTGATAATTTTTGGCATATTAAAGAGCATCAAGGGATATGGGGATAAGCGCAGGAAAATGGTAATCAGCCACTGTATAATGGAGTGGGCCTATTGTTCCTTTTTGTTATGTTCTTATTCATTGTCCAAACTCACAGTCTAGACAACCAATGCTCACTTTACTTTTACTCTTTTCCTCTTTAAATAGCCTTACTGTTTCTTTATGTATAGCCAGAAAACTCTATTTTCCTTCCTGTTAGTTATTCTTTGCAGTCCTTTATGATCTACCCAATCTTCTGAGTAACCACCCACATTTATGGAACTGGGCACATTTTGTTTCAATTTTAGACCACACTTCTTCCTGGAGTTGTCCATAAATGGCACAACCTTCCCTTAAATCCTACTTTCCAGTGAGAAAGAATCCTAGTATTCTGAAATATCTCCATGAATGGTTGCCACTGCATCTTCATTGACCTATTCACTGAAACTAATTTCTCTGTCTTTGTGTCCTCATAATTGTCCTTATTTAAGTTTATTTCAGGCATGGTGTAGACAGTAACATGTTATTAAGCATGAATAGGGGATTGATTACCTACCAGGAAGATAGATTTTGCACGAATGTGTTATTTTTAGGTTGGCAAGATGTGATGTACGAAGTGCCACAGTGATTAGTGCTGGGCCCTCAATTATTTACAATTTATATCAATGATTTGGTTTAAGAAACTAAATATATGGTTACTACCTTTGCTGATGATTAAAGAAAGGCAGGAAGCAGTATTTTATTTAAGTGGCGAGAGATTGAAGTACTCTGAAGTGCAGAGAGTTCTCGGGGTTCTGATTAATGATTCACAGAAACTTAGGATGCAGGTACAGCATGTGATTAGAAAGGTAAGTGAAATGTAGTTTAGTGCCAGGAAAATTAAACACAAAAGTAGGAATGTTGTGCTACAGTGTAGAAGGCATTGGTTTGACAGCATCTGCAGGACCATGCAAAGGTATGATCCCCTCATGTAAGATAAAGCTATAGGTATATGAGAAGACATGCCAAAAAAGGGTTGCAAGGTTATCTTCTGAGGAACGTTGGACATGTTGGGCCTTTATTCATTATAGCTTAGAAGAAGGAGAGATGTTCTTATTTGGTCCTGAGGGGATTTGGAAGTGTGGATGCTGAAAGAATGTTTTCTCTTGTAGAGAGATTAGAATCTTTGAACACAGTTTAAAAGTAAGGAATCTTCCATTTTAATGAACTGGAAGAGAATTTCTTTTCTCTCAAAGAATCATGAGTCTTTAGAACGCTCTTCCCCAGAAAGCAGTGAATGCAGGATCATTGAAAACATTTAAGCTAGAGTTGATCTATTTTTGACCAACAAGTGAGTCAAAAGGTTATTGTGGGTGGGTTTGAAATTGTGAACACAGTCAGATTAGCCGTCTGGGCCTAGTGACCTAACCCTGTTCTTTAGTATTTTGTTCTGCACTATTCAGATTTGCTAAAGACCTTCAATATTTTACCACATAGAAACCTCATGGCTAAGGCCAGTACATGTGAAGTGAAAGGACAAGTAGCACAGCTGATGATAATAAGTCGGCTATAGAACCACAATCAGCATAAATGTTGAGAGTGTCAAGAACACTTGGCTTATACATCATATGTTTTAGATTTTAACTTGTCATTTTAGGAATATAATTTTTTGGTTGGAGATTATAAGTTTTAATTGTAGCATCAAAGTAAAAGAAGTAAATATAATGTAAACAAACTTGAAGTAAATTATACTAGATGTTAACTGGAACCTTTCTTACAAAGTCAGAGCAAAAGGTGTCAACAATGAGAAAATGAAGAACCCCTTGTTATGCTTTAGGTGAAGGGTCTCCACTTAGGTAACATAGATGAAGGATGCAACTGATGTATGAAGTTTTCAGACAAAGTGAAGCTGCGAGATGTTTTGCAAGCACTGATTGACATCCGCTACTCCTCCTCAAATCAATCATGGCCCATGGCTGCTCCTTCCTCCCTGGTTACTCACTGACCTCCACCAGCAGTCTCCATGCTCAGCAGCTTCACACTGACCATAGGTACCTTCCCTCCTTTAAGCCAGTTAGAGACTTTGTCAGGTTAATTAAACAATAATCATTGTGCAGAAGGTCATACAGTCCAGCTAAGGCAGCCTATGCCTCTCATCTCATAAAAAAAGACATGTTCTGGTTGGTTAAATCATTTTTTGGTATGAAATGGATAACTCACACTTGTCTTTATTAAAATACATCTGCCACTGCTTTTGCCCATTCAGTTAATCTATCAATATCCTGCTGTAATTTTATGCTGTTGTCTACAATGCTGCCCAAATTTGTGTATCCTACAAATTTGGATATTTGACTTTTTATGCCATTATCCAAGTTGCTAATTAATATTGAGGCCCCAACACAGACCCTTGCAGGACACCACTGGTCACGTCCTGCCATTTTGAGTACTAACCATTATGGCAACTGTCTGTTTCATGCCACTCAACTAATTTCTTATCCATGTCAGTAATTTACCCTGAATTCAGTGGGTTTCTACCTCAGGTAACAATCCTTTCCACATGTACCTAACATATGCTCTCCCTCTCTTTTGCGTATTTTAGCTATATATATTCTGAATGGACCTGTCAAATTTCAAATCTAATGATGATCTTGCTTTTTGTGCATCTTCTTTGCAGCTATAGCTTTGTATGGGTCATAAACAGCAAAGATCACCCTATGACCTTTGTATGTTATGATCTGCCAGTATTGCATGCAAAACAAAACTTTTCACTGTACTTAGGTACAGATGACAAGAATAAATCAAATCAAAGTAAGCAGGTGACCCTTCTTTGATTAATCACCTGTAATCATGTCTTCCTAGGGTTTTGAGGCAAAAGACACATATACATGACACTCGCTAAGAGGAAATAGTCAAAACTGAGGAAGGTAAAAACCATGAGTAGTTTATGAACTTGAGGAATGTGAACTTAATTGGCAAATGGATTTCAACATAGATATGTGTAAGATAGTGTTACTAAGACAATTTGCAGTTTGGATAATAAAGTCTAAATAGGGTTGAGGAACAAAAGGATGGAAATGTACTCATTCATAAATTATTAAATGTTGCTGCACAGTCAAGTTCATTTCAAGAGAACAGAATTAAAACCTCTTTCCATATTCTACTCGTTAAACTTGAAATCTGTATGTGCATGTCAGTAGAACCAAGGAAACCTAAAACCTATCTAGAAAAGACCAAGGACCACTCAAACAGCTATCAAAGTGAAAAATGCCCATTGCTTTACTGTGAGCAGTGTCTGGTCAATGCTAATTATTAATACTCAAAAGGATCTCTAAGAGACACACAAACCCATTTTGAAATCTGTACATGTTGCTATTCTGAATTTTGTTTAACCTGTGTACGTTGCTTTCCACCCATAATATGTGTCAAACCCTTTGTTTCAGTCTGTATTAATCCTGAATGGATGTGTACATATTTAGGGATTTTAAAGGAGCAAAGTCTAAGTCAAATAGTACCAAATTATAATTTCTTTCTTTTCTTGCCTTTCTTTAAAGTTGTTACAATAAATAGAGGTATTTTACTTTTTATGATGAAAACTGTTGAAAATTTTTATCTTGTGTAGCAGTCACTTTGGCAAATTGATCATTTTAGTGGTCCAATTGGGATTCTATATGGTTTCTGATGGCTTGTGAACATGGGGCATGATAATCAATGCAGCCATCCCCCATTAGATCTTAAAATAATCACAGGAATCAAAATTCAGTAGGATGCTGAACCTTCATTGTACTCGCTCTATGGCAAGTTTATTCTTTCATAGGTAAGGAGTCTGCACATAATACTCCAGGATTGAGGCTCTCCAATTTTTTTAAGACTTCTTTACTTTGATGGTCAAATTCTCCTGCAATAATGGCCAACATACCATTGATCTTTGGTTTGATCATACGCTCCACATCACCATATTAAACATAGTCAATTCACTGACTATCCCCTCAGTTCTATATGCCCTTCTCTCTCACTCTCCCCACTCACTGTCCTGTACTCCCAGTACTGGAGATTCCCCCACACTCACTCTGTCCCCTCAGTTCTACATTCCCCACTCTCTGACTCTTACCTCTCCATGGCTGAATCCAGAAGAGTATGCCGATTATCCCGACAATAACAGCCAGTGCACTGATCACTGATGCAGTTACGGTTCCAAGATGAAGGTATCCCACACTATTTTCTGGAATTTCTGAAACATATTTGCATAATATCAGGATTTTTTTCTCTGATCCTCAATATATTTCCAGTGTTCTGTCAGTCTAGTTTTATGCTCTTTTATCTTCCAGGAAGAAATTATACAACATTCGGATCAACATTGCCGATATTTCCACATGTATATTGATAGAAAGCATCCCATTTCAATTGAAGGCTAGCTCTTTGTACAAACAAAATGTTAAAAATCCATCCCCATATCTTTCTCGCAGAGTGATAATGTAATGCAGGGGCAGAGAGAGGTCATGGAAATGTAGCAATGAGCACATTCAAGACTTGAGCAGCTTGGCTGTCACTCCATTGCTGCTCCGAGAGAATGCTGCACTGCTGACGGTTGGTGGAACAATGCTGCGGCACAGCTGCATGGTGAGAAGGACACTACTCATGGATCTGTGTACTGTTAGAAGGACAGTATTGGGAGAAGACCAGGGAGCAATGAAGATGCATCGAACTGTTCAAAGAACAATGTTGAGAGTATGCCGCACTGCCAGTGAGGGTCAGTACTGAGCGAGTGCCGCACTGCCAGTGAGGGTCAGTACTGAGCGAGTGCCGCACTGCCAGTGAGGGTCAGTACTGAGCGAGTGCCGCACTGTGTCGGGGGCGGGGGGCGGGGGGTGGGGGGAGGGGGGGGGGGTCAGAACTGAGAGAGTATCACACTGTCGGAGAGTCAGTTCTGATGGAATGTTACACTATTGGAGAGTCAGTACTGAGGGAGTGCCGCACTGTCAGAGGGCCAGTACTGAGGGAGTGCCGCACTGTTGGAGGGTCACTACCGGGGGAGTGCCACAAAATCAAAGGGTCAGTACTGAGGGAGTGCTGCACTGTCAGAAGGTCAGTACTGACAAAGTGTCACACTGTCAGTGGATCAGTACTGAGTAAATGCTACACTATTGGAGGGTTAGTATGGGGGGAATGCTGCAGTGTTTGAGGGGCAGTACTAAAGTAGTTAGGGGGTCAATTAGCACAGTTAGTTGGACAGCTGGTTTATAATGCAGAGTAACGGCAACATCATGAATTCAATTCCCACACCAGGAAGAATAGACGAATTGAATATTATTTAAATGGCGAAAGGCTGCAGAAAGCTACAGCAAAGAGGGATTCGGCAGTCCTTGTTGTATAAATCATAAAAAAAACTAGCATCCAAGTTCAGTGGGTAATAGGGAAGGCACATGGGGTGTTGGTTTCAAATGTTGGATGTTGTTCAAAGGGAATAGAGTGGAAAGGTAGGGAGGTTTTGCTAAAACTCTCCAAGGCAGTAGTCAGACCACAATTGGAATACTGTGAACAGTTTTGTGCCCCTTATCTAGGGAAAGATATAAGACAGTCCAAAGAAAGTTGACTAGCTGATACCAGGTAAGGAGGGACTGTTTTAGGAGGAAATATTGAGTATGCTGGGCTTGTACTCATTAGAATTTAGAAGAATGAGAGGTGACCTTATGGAAACATGCAAGATTTTTCGGGGCTTGATCAGGTAGGTGCAGAAAGGTTGTTTCTCCTTGGTGAAAAGCCTTAGACCAGATTTTTTAATTTCAGAATTGGTTCTGCATTTAAAATAGAGATGAGAAAGATTTTCTTCTCCCAGAGGACAGCAAATCTGTGCAATTCTTTATCACAGAGATTTGACGAGGCTACAGGAGAGCAAGTGAGGAGCAACACCAGTTAAGTCCAAAACAGGTGTCAACCAAGTGAAAGTACAACACAAGACTACTTATCCATCAAACAGAGTAATCAGCATGTGACAGATGGGACTAAATGTTCCTGTAATAAGTAGATCAGATCTGCAGTCCTAACATACACAATCATGAATGTTCATCACAAACAGCTAAATAGTGATGGAAGATGCTCCACAAATATCCCTACCTTAAAGATAAGGAGGTCAGTTGATCAGGTGTTGGTCTTGTAAAGCAAAAATTGTGGGTTCAAATTCTATCTGCACTTACAAATGACTGCCTGAAGCAAGTTTCATCTGTTCTACATCCACTCAGAATTATACTGAAAGCTACCCCTCTGTCCTGCCATATACATTGTTTTCAATCTCAATCTCAATTAGAAGTCAGATAGGCAAAGGTAGCCTAGATGTGGAGTTTATAGAATATTTTCAGGTTAGAATATCATGTTCTCGAGCTGACCAGTGGGCAGACTGTATTAGACTTGATATTGTGCTAAAGGGATAAGATTAATTAGTGAAAACTCTCCACAGCAAGCGTTCCTTAAAGGTAGTGTCCTGTGTTTGACCATCTTCAACTGCTTCATCAATGACCTTCCCTCCAATTTAAGGTCAAGATCATTGATGGCTGTATAATGTTCATTTTCATTGGTAACTCCCCAGGTGCTGAAGCAATCTGCGACCATATGCAACAAGACCTGGTCAATATTTAGGTTTTAGGTGGGAAGTGATAAGTAACATTCATGCCATACAAGCATTAACCATTGCCCACAAGAATCTAATCAATCATTCTCCTTGATGTTCAATGACATGACCATCACTCACCATCAACATCCTGGGGTTACAATTTACCAGAAACTTAGCTGGACCAGTCATATCAATGCTGTGGCAGGGCAGAGGTTGGGAATTCTGTGACAAGTAACTCACATTCTGTTTCTCCAGTGCTTGCCCCGCAAGTCACAAGTCAGCACTGTGGTAGCATACCCTCCACTTGCCTGATGAGTTCAGCTTCAACAACACTGAGGCACATCAACATCATTCTGGACAGAGTGGTCAGCTTGACTGGCACCTTTCACTCCATTACCTATACAGCATATTTGCAGTGTGTACAAATAAATATTATGCAATGCAGCAACTTGACAACCCATCCAAATACATGACTTCTACTACCTAGAAGGACAGGAGCAGCAGACTCAATGAGAACACAACCACCTACAAGTTTGTCCTCTAAGTCACACATGCTCACTATGGCTCAACCAACCTCCTGGAACTCTTTTTCTAACTGGACTGTGGCTGTCCCTAAACCACATGGACTACAGCAGTTCAAAGAGGAAGTTTACTGCCACCTTCTAAAGGCAATCAGGGATGGCCAATAAATGTCCGTGCCGCCAAAATCCTTATGAAAGAATTTTTTTAAAAAGCAGGAGGTGTGGAGGCAGGATAACATTGGGACAATGGGAAGCAATGTTATGACATTGGGAGTGAGGGGCTAGTTGGAGTGATAAGAGGCTAGTGGAGTTGATAATGGTATAGAGGGTGATAAAGAAATGGATGTGATGATAGGATAATGGGGTTCAAGAAGGGATGGTAGGGAGTTTTTCTTTATTCATTCACATGATGAGGGCATCGCTGGCTAGGCCAGCATTTATTGCCCATCCCAGAGGGTGTATAAATTCAACTATGTTGCTGTGGGTCTGGAATCACATGTAGTTCAGACCAGGTAAGGATGGCAGTTTCCTTCCCAAAACGGCATTAGTGAACCAGATGGGTTTTTCCTGATGATTGATAATAGGTTAATGGTCATCATCAGTCTCCTTGAATTCTATCATCTGCTGTGGTAGGATTTGAAGCCGGCTACCCAGAACATTACTTGGGTCTCTGAGGTAACAGTCCAGTGATAACAGTAGGCAATCGCCTCTCCATGATGACGGGATAGGTGGGTAACAAATATGGGTTGAGAGACACAATAAGAATTAGGAGGATGAGGCAGTGAGTGTTTGAGAACCTGCTATCATGGTGCCCTGATATTAAATACAAACTTTCACCATTGATAATTCAGTTCCCTACTGCATTATACCTCACTAGCAGCATCTTGTTTCCAAAAAGATTTAAGGGGATAAGAGAGAGGAAGAAGTAAAAGAAGTTACAAAAAGAAAACAGAAATAAACAGTAGCAAAAAAAAAACAAAGGGAAATAGCAACATGAAGTCATCAGACAAAAGAGGGACACCATATACTCTGACTTACTATCTGGAGCCCCAGGAGAGATTGACGAGTAGGAGAACTGCATGTAGACAATACACTTTCCCCGTGTTCCTCTTATGATATAAATGGGCTTGGTCTAGAAGTTTGCTGAGCCATATTTATAAACATCAGTATTTACTGCACTAACTAGATCCATCTTTTGGAACACAACTTTCTTATCTTGTTGGATTGTATGGAAAATCCAAATTCTCAAGGATTTCATTTCTAGTTCAGCAATATGTCAAAGACTTAACCTCAGGCTCTCCCCAACCTCATGTTCACGTTGCCTTATCAGGAGAAGTAGAAGAAGCAGGAGTAGCCATATTTGTCTATTCTACCTTTCAATACGAACTTGGCTCATTTTGTGCCTTACTGCCACTTTCCTGCTTATTCTCCAGATCCCTTGGTTACCTGAGATACCAAACTCTGTCTATTTCAGACTAAAATACATTCAGCAGCAGAACATTCACAATCGTGTAGGGGACACAATTCATAATGTTCTTAAAGGGTGGCCATTTCTAAAGGGCAGTTCACCGAGTAAAGAACTCTTCAGTGTCTGGGGGATCGAAAATTGGGGCAGTATCTCATTCATCTTCCCTTCTCAGTCATGCATGTTCTCCCGCACTCCTTCTCCCTTGCTGTCCCACACTTCCAGTTCAGTTCCTTACCCCAATGGTAGAGCTTAGCCTCTGACAGGCTGCTGTGTTCAACTTGACAGGAATATTGATCCTCATCCCCAGCACTGATTTCTATCTCTTTCTGGATCTGATGGGTCCCATCGTGGTTCGGTCGAATCCCCGAGGATTGTGTCTCAGACACGACCTCTCCATTCCTTAGCCAGGTCACCTCGATGTCTACAGGATAAAATCCAGTGACCAGGCAGAAGAGAGTGAGTGGCTTGTCCTGACGATTGGGCTCACTCCTGGATATGAACACTTCAGGCTGAACTGTGATGGGAAAGGGTGAAAACACAAACAATACACAGACACTGAATGGAATGGGAGAACAGTTTCATAGATAAGTGAGGTTAGATCAGAACATGGGATCAAAAACTCAAGTACACACCTTTCCTTTTGAGATATTTCTTTCCAATGTTTAAACGTGATTTTAAGCGTTCAACAAGCTCCACTTCCATCAGCCATTTCCAAAACTTGTTCCAGGATTCATCAGAATCCCATTTCTCTTTTGTTTTCACTGCATTGTGATGTGATGCGACCCATCTCATTCTGTCCGACTCCAAACTAATGTAGTCCTTTCCGTCAAAGCCAACATTCATTGTTCTCTTAATGGAGCCATCTTCAGACACCTCAACGTTCCTTATCCATTGCAAAATATGCTTTCCTGTCAAAGGTAAACAGTGAAATAAATCAAATTTTCACGGAAAAAAGGTATTCAATGGGCTTAGCATTATCGTAAATTTTTCTGATGTGTTAGTTTTACAGTATCTGACACACAATTGCACCCATCATTACATTAATAACATCCCCTGTGAACGTGGTATTACAGTCTTAGATCCCCCAGTGGGCACTGTATTATACTCTTGCAGGCTGAGATTTACAACAGTAAGTCTCCATATGCTCAGTAGGGTTCTGAAGGTTCAGTATTATATTAATAAATACCTGTGTGTTCTGTATTGCATTAACAGATGCACTATGTACTCATACATTAATAAAATCTTGTGTCCGTGCCATCTTTGAAAGGCCGCTGTGCACCTGAACCAGTGCTGGCAATCTGCTGTTGCCCATCACTGGCAACATAATGGCACAGTAGCCACAAAGCCACGCTCCTTCCCCACAGCATACGCCAACATTACTTACATTATACGCACAATCCTATTCTCTCACCCAAGTCACTGTTTATCCACCACACTTGACCTGTCCTTAGCTGAGTACTGTCTGAACACCCTGTAAGTCAGGGCTACATTGGCCCTATTTCACTAAAAGTCAAGAGGGTTTATCAGGGAGTGGTGTGTGCTGTCTGATCCTCGCATGCTGCACCCTGAGCAGACAAGGAAGGGATGCAACAGACACTGAACAGTTGTGACGACTTCAGCAATCTTCTCAGGAGGAAGGTGAACACATTGAGCAGGAAGAACATCATCTTCTGCAAGATAGAGGGCTGCAACGTCAGACATAATGAGCAAAAAGTTAAATGGCAGCCACTTCCAAAAGTTGGATGAAGTTTTCATTCACTGACTTGCTGCCCCAAAGTAGCCCTTTGTTTAGTCCCAAAAACAACTGCAGCTTTATGTTGGATAACAAGGTGTAGAGCTGGATGAACACAGCAGGCCAAGCAGCAGAGGAGCAGGAAAGCTGACGTTTCAGGCCTAGACCCTTCTTCAGAAAAGCAGTTCCTACTATCTCTGCAGCTTTATGTTGGTTCTTTTTTTGCTTTTCCTGTTGTTTAATAAAAGTTGATAGGAGTGACTATTTCATGGCTTTACAATATCAGATGCTCCCTCATTCAGGGGAAAAAAGTAACATTCCTTCAAATTTCTAACATTGTGTGTTGCCGAGGAAAGGGGTTAGCTTCTGTGCTTCACTCTTGTAGCTGCGTTTACAATGACAGTCAATCAGACAGGCAATGATTTGAAGTGCCAACGTTTCTACAAATGTGATGTTCTATCTACAAGTGAAGTGTCACTGTGCCATCTGTGCCCTTTCACTGAGTTGAGGTGTAATCCTGGCTAACTGTATTGGAGTGGAGGGCTTTATCCATTTCTGGCAGACATTAAGCGTTCTACTGGACTTGACTTCAAGATGTCAGTGGAGTTACAAGGTTGAACCCGGGGCTTGTCTGCTCCCGTCTGCTTTCTAACTCCACTCTTTCTTTTCTTCTTTTTACCTTTGCACTTTTTCTTCCTTCTTTGTTTTCTTTTCTCTAAAGCCTGGAGAGCGGTGGGTGAAGGAGGCGGCCTCCAGCATTGGCAGCAGCAGCATCACACCAAGCTGAGCTGGACACAGCTCTACTCCAGCTCGGAGTCCCCCGTCATGTGTGGCCCATGCTCCAGGTCCGCAGCTGGCCTGAGAGCCAGAAGGAGCGGAACGAATTGGTGAAAGGGACGGACGGCGGAATGGCAGCAGTGACTGGAAGAGGAGAAGCATCGGATGGGGAAAGGGAGGTACAGAACCCGCACATCCCCAGGCCCATGGCTTCAGTTTGATGTGGTGATTGGGTGGGGGGGGGGGGTAGTGACGGCAGAGGAGACCTGTAACCAAGACCCCCAGCACCCATTACAGAGACTCCAGTCGATGTCAAGCAGTGACTGGAGGAGCAGTGGAGGAGGAACAAGAAGAAAATAGAGCTCGTCTTTCTCTCTCGAGTAAAATCTTGCATTATATTCAGTGTTTCAAGATGGCGCTGGAGAACGGAGTCTCTCGGCATGTACCACACGAGAAAACACTTTTCACTGTATTCTTATATGTATGTGACAATAAATCTAAATCTAAATTGCAGTGGCCACCCTGTACATGGAGATAGTCAGACACATATTTGCCAAAGCCAGTCACAGCACTCATAATGGGGGTGGTCTCCTCCAGCTTTCCATCCAGTTTACTAAGTGACATCTGCCTGCCACGCCTTTGTCTGTTTGTAGATTTGCACAAAGTCATTAATGGGCTCCTCTCCTGCCTGGGGCTGAGCAGGTGCCTGGTCTCTGGCAGCTCTCCCAGTGCCAGTAGTTTCAGCTGTTTCTTCCTCAGCCGACTGTGTCAGTGACGTGCTCCTCACTGCTTACACACCCTCGGAGGGTCTCAGTGCCTGAGCTCTTGCAGGCTGCTGAAACCGGCCTTGCCTTGCGAGGGATCAGTGGCTTCTTCCTCGGAGGTGAAGGGGGAGGGGGAATTACAGGAGGAGGCTGTTTGGACACAGCCAGTGCCTGCAGAAGGCAAGAGAGGAAGTTGCACAATCGTGGTCAAGGCTTGAGCAATTGATTTCGAGTGGGGTTAATGAGAGCATGGCACAATGTCCACTGGGACATGCTGATATCAACATCACCCCACAAACATTCACAGTCTTCCCACCCTTTCCTCATGAGCGTGCTGAGAAGACAAACATTGGCCACTCCATGACTTGATGGGGTGCCTTCAGCCCTGGACTGATTCCTCATGAAATTATACGAAAGGAGGGATTGAGTGAGCTGAAAGTGGCTGGTCCAGCTGTTAGTGTTGGTTAAGGATGAGGAAAGCTCACAAGGTGAGTGAGTAGGAAACAGAGTGCAGAAAGGGCTGGTAACTTGGAGGGGCAGGCAGGGTCAGAGCCCTTGAGTGGAATTGCTCAATGCAATAGTCATTGTTTAGGTCATAAGCCTTGGTGGGAGGTAGGTGCAATGGCAGAGTTAGAGTGAGTGTCAGACAGCAAACAGAACATGGCAGCACTTAGCTTTGTAGTGCAAAAGGCTTATGACTTTCTTGAAGCACTGCTGTGTGACCCTCTGGACCATGGAAGTGGCACTGACCCAGGCAGTAACCTCAGAGCAGGCTGTGGTCTCCTCTAGCAGCCCTAGAGAAAGAGGGTGACCCTATTGTCCATCACCAGGACTTCCAAGTGCCTAACACCAAAGCAGGATGCTAGCTTGGGTCTCTGAAACATCTCTTTTTGAACTGTGAGACAGATAATAATTGGCTTGTAGCATTTGAACGAGTGCACCCTCTCAATTTAAATATGACCTTGGCGACATAACCACAAGAAGGTCTCAGCACTGCTGACAATTTCTTCTGCTGCTGAGTGCAAGATATTGCAGGAGCAATATATGGATGTGGAGTGCAGATTTAATAAGGTGAGCAAGGTAAAACTGCATGAGAAAATGCTTTGGAGGGGTTTCTGAAGAGGTCTACTCAATAGATAGCAGAAATGAATGTGTTATTACAGGAGAATAGGTTGGACATTCTGGGCTTGTTTTGACTGGAGTTTAGAAAAGTGAGGAGTTACTTGATTGAAGTGTATAAGATCCAGATTAGTCTTGAGAAAGTGGATGTGGAAAGGATTTTCTCTTATGGGTGAGTCCAGAATTAAGAGCACTGCTTTAAAATGAGGTGCCTTTCTTTCAGGACAGAGATGATGAGAATTTTATTTCTCTCAAGGATTGGGAAACTTTGGAACTCCTGGCCTCAGAAGGTGGTGGAAGCAGGGTGATTGAATATTTTTAAGTCAGAAGTGGATAGATTTCTATTGGGCAAGGGAATGGAGAGGTATTGGGAGTAATTTAAAATGTAGAATTAGAAACGCAAACAAAATAAACAGATCAGTTTCATATTGTAAAGTTGCCAGTGCTCACGGAGGTAAATCCCTCATAAAGCCTCCAAAAATATGACAAATTATGAGAAAATGCAGCCTGCTGTGTTCCTGCCATTCCCATTACTCCTCCTGGAAGTGCCGTTCACAATAAACATGGCCAAAAGAATCACACTGAACCAGCCAGAACAGGTTTCCCTCTACACACAGCATTATCAAACATAGAGTTTGCAGTTTTCCAAAGTTAAAGTGTATCATTCCAAATTATGACAACCAAATACACCATCATAGCAGGTTTGATGAGGGTAATGAGTTGTACATGGCCTTCCAGATGATATTTGATGAAATGCCAATAACAGGCTTGTCAGCAAAGTCAAAGCTTATGAACTAAAAAGAAAATAGCAGTATTGATGGGAATTTGCTGAGAGTCAAGAAACAGTAGTGCTTAACAGTTGTTTTTCAGAATGGACCAAACTCCTCAGGGAATGGAGCATTGCTTTTGCTGATCTGTAATCATAATTTAGACATCGATAGATAGGGCACAATCTCAAAACATGCAGGTGAACTAAAATGTCGATTTAATCTGAATTGCAGAACTGATATTGTTAAACTTCAAGAGGTCATAGAATAATGTGTGGTCAGACAAGTAGCGGATGACATTCAACAAAGAGAGGCACAGACTAAAGCATTGTGTTCAGAAGAATAAGGGACTGGCAATATAAAGCAAAGATTACAATTCTAAAGGGATGCAAGAATAGAGTCACCCAATGTCATAAATCCATAAGTTGTCAAAGGTGGTAGGGCAGGTTGAAAAAGTGCAAACAGGCAAATAAGATCATGGGATTTACATATAGAGGCATAGTGTACAATAACAAGAAGGTTATGATAAATTTTTACAAAAGAAAAATGGTTCAGTGTCAACTGCAGCACTATACACAATTCTGGGCACCACATTTAGGAAGGTTATGAAGACTTTAGAGAAGACTTAAATAGTTATGAAATAATTTCTTCTGTCACATAGGGATTATTGTCCTTAGGCAAATAGAAGGATGACAGAAAGTTTAGTGGAGGTTTGATCGAGGTTGTAAAGACCATTTTTATTTTTCCAACTGTGAACTAAGAGTGGGGAAAGGAACTGCTTCAAACAAGGAAGCTGTGTAAGAAGGTATTAGTAGCACGTTACTGGAACACGTTGTGATTTGTATTTACAATGTTGCCTTATCCCAGCAGTATGGGAGAATGCTAAACATATCACTGTGTGTGGTGTGTGGTTTGGTGTGTGTGGTGTCATGTGGTGTGTGTTCAGGACAATTCTGCTCAGAGACAATCATTTGATTGCTTTTTTTCAGTTGACTGGTTGTGTGGGTTCCGAAGAGCTCAGCATAGCAACAACTTCTTGATTAGTTCCTGGATAGGGTCTAGCCTTGTATGTAGACAATGGAGAAACTTCCAGCCTGCAAAGAGAAAACACCTAAATCTTTCTCTCTCGGTCTCATATTCTCACTTATAATTTCCCTGCAAACTGTTCTCTCTGCAAATTCTCTTGTGGAAAAGGAGAGAAAAAATACACCTCCAGAGGCACAGAATTCTGAACGAGTGAATGAAAGGTAGAGTCAATTTACCCACAACTTTATGTCATTAGCACAGAATTGGAAGGAGTCAAGAAAAAACTATTATCATTTAGGATCCAGACCGATGCCCGAATTGTGCTTCTCTGACAGTTTTTTTGTCTTCACCTATAATATTTGTGTCTTGTTTCTTTGTGTGTCTGTATGTGTATGGGAATTTTAAAAGGGGGTAGAGTTTAAGTTATAGAATTATAAGTTAGCAATTGACGTTTCTTTCTTGCTATTGGTTTAAAACAGTTTGATTATAATAAATAATTATTTTCTTGTTAACGAAAAACCTGATGTGCATAATCTTTTAACCTGTGTTACACAGTTAATCTGGGCAATTTGTGGTTTACTCAAATTTTCACATTTGTGATGACTCTGGGAATATTGAGGCTTGGTTTTCAGCACAATACCCCTGTGACTCATGACAAGTTGTACAAAATCTTGAGGGGTATAGGTAGAGTGCATAGGGAGAAACTGTTTCCCATTCATGGAAAGGTGAAGAACCAGGGGTCACCCATTTATTGGGACTGGCAAAGGAATCACTGGCAACATGAGTGAAAATTGTGCCCATAATGGCTCAGTTGGTAGCAAATCTTGCATCTTAGTCGCCCGGGTTTGGCTTCAAGTTGCACTGTGGGCCTCAAACACAAAACTCAGAGCTGATTGATGCTCCAGTAGAGCATTGAGAAAGCTGTGCTGCTGGCTGAAGGTGTCATCTTTTGAATAAAATGTGAAACTAAAACCCCACCTGCCTATATGGATATAAAAGCTCTATTTTGAAGAAAAATGGGGGTATTTGTCCTAATATCCTGCTAAAACGTATCCCTTATCTAACATGACAAAAACAGATGATTTGATACGGTCAAATTTCTGTCTGGGGAAGTTAGTTGGCTGCCACATTTCCAGCATTGCAACAGTTCTGCAATTCATAAGCGCTCATATGGTTGTAATGTGCTTTTAGACATTTGCTGGTTGCGAAAATCCCTATATAAATACAAATCTTTACTTTTAAAAATGGTGAGTAGTTATATTCTGGAAAACGCTTCCTGAGGGTGTAGTGGAGACAGATTTAACTAAGGCACATCCACCACCTCCTCTGGATGTTCATTCCTCTGTGTAAAAAACTTGTTCCCCCTATCTTCTTTAAATCTCTCTCCCCTCACCTTAAAAATGTGCTTCCAGTCTTGAAATCTCCCATCCTACCGAAAAGACACCTACTATTAACCCTATCTATACCTCTTGTGACTTGTAAACCTCTAATAACATCACCTCTCAATCTTCTATGCGCCTGTAAAAAAGGTCCCAGCTTATCCAGCTTTTCTTTATAACTCAAACCCAGCATCATCCTGGTAAATCTCTTCTGAACTCTCTGTAGCTTAATAACTTCCTTCCTAGACCAGGAAAACTAGAACTGGACGCAGTATTCCAGAAGCGGCCTCACCAATATCCAGTACATGACTTCCTTCTGTGTTGCAAACATTCTATGATTCTACAATTAGCTCATTAACTATACTGGATATCCAGGCATCTATTTTAAACATGTATTCCATACTGTTGTATGACCATGGCTGAGTAGCTTTCTGGTGCCTGTTAAACAGGACAGCTCTGGTGGAAATCTTACCTGTTGTTTGGTTTGTCCCCTTCATTATTGTGATCAGATTTTCCTTAGCCATGGCTGCAAGTTTATTCCCTTGATTTGTGAGGTATTCCCAGTACTCCTCATCAAAAGAATCCATCATCCACTGCTGCCGGGAGACTGTCTGACAGGTATTACTGTCATAATAGGTCACAGGAACTCCATTGATCATTGTTACACCAAAATACTCAGGTAGTTCAGCAATGCCAGAGGTTGCCAGAAATGCCGTAGTAATGGTATTGCTGTCTGTAAAACAAATAAAGGAATAATTCGTTTACAAAAACTACCAACTGAGCAGGTATATTCTCAGCCATATAATGACGCTGCCCCAGAGACAGACACAGAGCGATGGAGAGGAATTCAAACAGAAACAGGCAGATGCACGTACACCCGTACAAAGTAGATACAACTGCAAATACCAATTCTTTTCCCATTAATGAATATCGTGACACACATTTCCTGCCGATGCCAACATTTCTACTTCCAGTAAAATCCCAGTGAATTTCCAGTCCACATCCGGGGCTGGAGAAATGAGAGAAAGAGAATGGAAAGCTGAATTCTGTACTTACCAGGAGAGACGCAGGAAAAACACAGGGAAATGGAGAAAATGATCAGCAACATTCTGGTAATCCACTGTCCCTATTCCAATTCGGGACTGGGAATAAACTAGTCTAAAATGGGGAGGGGGAAGACTGAACAAGGTTATTGAGACTGCATTTTACTGCTGAATTTAAAGATAGATCATTTCCGGAAACTCCAGAACCAGAGGAGAGCAGAGGCTTGTTTATAAAAGGATATCCAATTAAAATGACATATAGTTATCCGTCATGAGTTACCGAGAGACAAATAGCGAGGCAGATAGCTTAGGCGGGGCTTTCTGCTATTTCTTCAATGTGGGGGATGGAGAAGCGAGAGGGTTGTCGCTGGTGACTAAGGCATTGCTCAGTCTATCACATGCCTGTCAGCGCCTTAGCCACAGGGAAGAATCTGCCCGGAAACAGAAATAGCTGAAGAAACTCAGACTTTTCTGATGAAGGGTCTAGGCCCGAAACGTCAGCCTCTCTGCTCCTATGATGCTGCTTGGCCTGCTGTGTTCATCCAGCCCTGCACCTTGTTGTCTGGTAGCTTCTTTGGGGAAGTGAAAACAGAGGCCAGTAACCTTTCTTCAGGACTAGGTAGTGCCTGTCCTCTCATCAATGGAGTAATGGGTTTCCTGAAACTGCCAGTCAGTCAGAGAGAGAGAGCAGCAGCTCCACCAGAACTGATCCGGCCTTTTGTGTTTTGTTTCACCTTTCGCCCGACTGGAGTTTTGCAGGGACATGGGATGGTGAGCCGGGTGGGGATGTCGGTGACAAGAGCAAGGGGCTGGCACTTATCAGCCCCCACCATTTCGGGCATCCATGCCTCAGAATGGCACCATTGGATGTCAGTCCCCTAACCTACCCCATATCTGACAAACCAGTAACCACAGTACCCCAGGGCTGATTCTTATTGGAAATCTGCCTGTTGGTTTTAGTAGCTGTGATCACCGTTACCTAATATAGACGGTGGAACATTTATTGCAATTTTCCGATAGTTTATTAATTTCATTGTGTTTGTAAAGAAGCAACAGTTTAGATATGATACGTTAGTTAATTAGATAAAGAAAGTATATAAATGTGACAATTGGGGGACAGTTCATTGAGGACAAACCGGCTGTCATTATGGAATGTGTTGGTTTTTTTTTAATTTCAAAAATATACTTTGGTCATAAAAATAACAGCTACTGAAGCAGGTTGGTTCTGTAAGTAGCATATGAAAGAACAAACAAACATTGGAGTTCGACTCTATCCAACAAACAAACCCAAGACATTCTTATTTGTACAAGACTATGTTTACTCATATTTGAGGCACCAGGAAGGTCCAGTGACTGAATGGACCTCCATGTAACTTTGGCTGAAAGACCTCAGACAGTGGCCTTTCCCCACTGCTCCTTGGCGGCGGCTATCCCAAGCTTTAGTGCATCCCTGAGCACATAGTCCTGGACCTTGGAATGTGCCAGTCTGCAACACTTGGTCGGGGGTCACCTCCTTGTTCTGGAAGACCAGCACATTTCGAACAGACCAAACAGCATCCTTCACCATGTTAATGATCCTCCAGGCACGGTTGATGTTTGTCTCAGTGTGTGTCCTGGGGAACACAGAGTCCTATGTCACAGAGCTGCTTGGGACAAACTTTGACAAAAACCACTACATCTTTCCCCAGGCTTCTTTTGCAAAGGCACATTCCAGAAGGAGATATGTGTGGAATGTGTCGGTCATGTGAAAATTGTGAAGGTAGCATCCTGCTCTCGAGCTGGTGTGTTAGGGAACTCTTCCCTCAGTCTTCCTCCTCTCCTTCTGGTCCATCTTCCACCTGTCTGGTGGGAACTGCTCCATGAAGACTGCTCTGGGGAACCACACAATGAGAACTGCCCTTTAAGGAATCCTCCTCTGCCCTGGCACTTATTGTTATGCCTTATTTCTAGCGGCAGCGGCTAACTTAAGCTGGGTCAGTTGATTATCTGAACCCTTTTGACCAATGGCCATAGGACAATACTCATAATGTCAGCTGATCCCCATATTGTCCCATTGCCCACCTTCACCTGAGGGTTAGTTGACCAATCTTACTAAAAGCAAAACCTTCATATTTTCGAAAACAACATGCCAGTAACAGAGTGCCTTTGGCACCAGATAAATTGTCAACACTGCTTCAATGGGCATTGTGACCTCTGTGTTTTTCATAATTCTTCCCTTTGTTTTCATATGCTAGAAACTCGGGAAGCTAATTACTGCTGTAAAATGAAATCTCAGGCTACATCATAAATACTAAGATAATTTCATTTTTAAGGGACCACAATATTCAAAAGGATCCATGTCAATTTTGGAGAGTTTCATGGAGGGTTTCTCTTCATGAGCGAGACTTGTTGCCAGTATGGCATCCTGCTTGTCCTATCTTCCCTCTCTTCAGAGGCAGAAGTATTTACCACTGCCTGGATCTACTGGGGGTCTTGTGCTATCTTTAAAATGCAGTTGTGCAGCAGGTGAAGTACTGTCAATCTATATTATGTACCGGGCCAGACCCTCTTAAAATGTTTTAAGAAGGCAGCCTAGACCCTAACTTTTTGTATTTTAAAGACAAATGCAATGTGCAGTGTTCCAGATGCAATTCGATTGGTAAACTACTTGATGTTAAGCAAAACACAAATGATTTAAACACTATAGTTAAAATATAACCAAAGAAAAAGGAATTTAGAGTAACTTAATTGAAGTGGAAAACTTAACAGAATAATAGATACAGTAACTATTACTAATTAACTGTTCCAATATAGTAATATCTGACAAAGACACCTTTGGTGAAAAGACAAATTCAGAAAAATAGATTTGTCTCACGGGTAACCCACCAGCAGAGAGAAACCCCAGCTTCCAGCTGTATCCAAGAAAGGGAAGAGATAGCTTCAAATTCTTCAAGCCTTGAACAGCAACTGCTTAGAGCTAAACCTAAAAACTTTAAAAAAAAAACGAGTAAAGCCTGGTCTGTAGACCTGGCTACACCCGTTCAGGCTGCTTCCATTGTTCCAACTTTAAAAAGAAAACCCCAAAGTCTCTCAGAGATGGTAGGAACTGCAGATGCTGGAGAATCCGAGACAACAAGATGCAGGGCTGGATGAACACAGCAGGCCAAGCAGCATCATAGTCTGCTCCTATGATGCTGCTTGGCCTGCTGTGTTCATCCAGCCCTGCACCTTGTTGTCCCAAAATCTCTCAAGCTGTTTACTGTTGTGGTTTCAGTGGACCACCCAAAGCCCCCTGCCTTACAATCTCCCTTCAAAAACAGAACAAAATAACCTCTTAATGCTGCAGCACCATCACAGTCTGGAGGTGTCCTGCAAGGTTTCTTCTTCTGAAATGTCGCCCTGAGATGGCAGACAGACTAATAGCCAATCTCTGAGAGAGAGCTGGAGGCCTTACTGGATAGGATGGTGCAGAGAAGGGCTGTGCTCCTCCGCCAGGACTGATAGGAGACAACATGTGACTAGTGCTATCATTTTCTGTTTGCAATCTCACACCTACAATTGCTACTGCCTGTGCCTCCCACTCATTCTGTTGCATGTAGCATCTTTTCTCACTCACTCACACCAGCACCCATGAACCCAGCACGGCCTGTCTGTGCTGCTCACTCGTTCACTTGGGACACCCTGCTACCTTTTCCCAACCTGCACCTGTGCCAGACCCTTCGACGGCCCAGAGCAGGGCAGAAAGTGCCAAGATGGATGTTGGGGTGTCGAGCATACATCTCCTCAGCTCCTACCTGCAGAAGACCTCACTGTTTCTGTGGTGATGCTGAAATCTCCATGTCCCGCCAATCAAATGTAAATCATTGTCCATTGCTGTGCTGCTCTCCCATTTCCTGAAATTCTACCACATCTTTTCCAATTGTGTTTTGGTTAGAGTAACTGTGTTTGGTTACAATTCAGCTTTTTCCACTTGTTCCAAAATCTGGACTGAAATACTGAGCTCGCATTTTTAGAATCCCCTCTCTTTGTCTGGTTGTGTATTTCAGTCCTACCGTTTCACTACATCTTTTAGCTGTTCTACATTTAAGGACACAAATTCTTGCCAAATTAAATCCTCTTGTTTTACAAACATCTCTGCATCAAAATTTAGCCATCTTAACTTTCTCATATGTTATCATTTCCTTAAAGCTTGTTGCTGCAGTATCTTGCTTGATTTTAAAGAAATTGATCTATATTATTATCCCTTCCATTTCCAAATTCTTTAAAGTTCAAGTTCAGTTCATTTGCAATGGATTTAATTTCAGTTTGAAGCTTTCAATTGTCATGGATGCTTTAAAATGTGTTTCACTCAAAGTTGTCGATAAATTTGTTTATGTTTGTATATCTCCTCTTTAGGAGTGAGAAATTCAATCTGTAATAACGCAGCAGAAAGTCCCTTTATATTTAAAAGAAGAATTGATTCATGTTTGCACTACTCAAGTAACTTCCAGTGCTATAAGGTTACTATTTCATTCCCAAAAAAAACCCCATTTATTTACAGGTGAAAGCAAAAACTGAAAGTGACTGGAATTGAATCGGATCAGTCTTCACTCAGATCTGGTATTTCAGTCACTTGACTGACATGAAGGATTTGTAATTGTAGGGTTGCTTCGTCAACTGCAATAGCGTCTATTGTCAGTGGCTGGGGGGGTTATTAATTTCAAAGGAGTGTTCAGCAGATCAGGTTACAGGATGAAGACAGGGGATCTTTCACAGGTGTGGCACTTTTCAACTGTTTGAAGACTTTTAAGAAGGAAAGCTGTTTTCAAGTTTGTCCCCTGTTCTCCCTCCCTGATGGAAACAGTCCCGCATTAAAATGCCTCCTTCGTGTTGTTTCAAGATGGCTCTCCAGACTGTGATGGATACCCTCTCTTTAGAGAATGCTCTGTGTTTGTCGAGCGCCCTGTTCTTTAAAGTGTACTGTCTTTGTCTTGTTTTCTTGCCTTTTTACTATCAGCGTGACTATCTGCAATGCCAAAGATCACCCCCTACACATGTACAGGCATAGCCTGTGGCAACAGCTTGTCGTGGCAGACTGCAGAAGTATCTGTTTAAATGCACCGCCGGACAGGAGATGGGGGGGTTGGTGAAGAGGCTGAGGGCTGGTAAAGAGGTGGGCTTCCCGTCCCTGCCCATGTCTGAGGAGTACATCTTCTCAGCTGTCACTATTTTGCTGCAATTACCCTGCTGCCATCATCTCACTGCCCAGCCCACTTCAACCACCAAGCTGCCCTTTCCAGAGTCAGGAGTCGATGCGCAGGAGCTGGGTGGCTGCTTCGGCCCCTGTTCCTCACCCGATTCACTGCTCCCCCTCAGGTGCTCCCTATCCAAACTCCCTCTTCCTTACCCAGATCCTCATCCAGATGCTAAGGTGCCCAATGAAATGGCTGCTGGTGAATATCAGCTTGCCAAGAAGGTGTATTCCTGGGTGTGTGTTTATTCATCACACCACTTATGCCAACTTTCCCAGTAGAGTCATACAGCATGGAAACAGACCCTTCAGTCCAACTGACACATGCGGACCATAATCCCAAACAAAACCAGCCCCATCTGCCTGATCCTGGCCTATGTCCCTCCACACCTTTCCTATTCATGTGCTTATCTGAATGTCTTTTAAACATTGTAACTGTACCTACATCCATCACTTCCTCAAGAAGTTCATTCTACACGTGAACTACCCCCGTGTAAAAAGGTTGCCCCCATGTCTTTTTTAAATCTTTCTCTTCTTACCTTAAAAATATGCCCCTAGTCTTGAAATCCACAATCCTAGGGAAAAGACACCTGCTATTCAACTTATCTATACCTCTCATGGTTTTATAAACCTCCAAAAGATCACCCCTCAACCTCCTATACTCCAGTGAAAAAAGTCCCAGCCTATCTAGCCTCTCCTTTTCATTCAAACCCTCCTTTCCCGGCAACATCTGGGATCTTGTACAGTGAAGAGGGAAGAAGTAAACGGGTGGGTGTTACACCTTCTGTGATTGCAGGGGGAGGTGCTGTGGGGCTGTGGAGATGGTGCTGGGGTTGAAGGAGGAGCGGACCAGGGCATTCCAGATGGAACGGTCTCTGTGGAAGGCTGACATGAGAGGGATCAGTGCTGAGAGTCTGGTATTGGCTGAGGGGTAGGGTGCAAAAAGGCAAAGTAAGGCAGAGAGAGCAACACCCAAGTAGGTGCAGAGTGAGTGAGCACTCTGACAGCAAGTGAAGGGCCCAGAGCTACATCCTGGCCCAGTCCATGTTCTGGGTGTGTGCTCCTGAGCACAGTGTCCTTGCTGCAGCATTACAATGAGAGTGGCTGGTGCAGCCTGAGGTGCAGCATTGAAGAATGGATCAGAAATGTACGAGATGGTCCTTGGAGGCTGCCAGATGTCTGGTGCCATTGTCCATGGATTTGTGATATATGTGGCGAGTCCCATGGAAGGTTGGTATCTGATATCCTTTACAGCAAGCAGTAAGCTGAAGCTGCCAGGTATTTGCTCTGACTACCATGTTGGGGATTTATAGAATCCCTACAGTGTGGAAGCAGGCCATTCAGCCCATCATGACCACACTGACCTCTGAACAGCATCACATCCAGAACCACTCCCCTATTCTATTCCTGCAACCCTGCACTTTGCATGGCTAACCCACCTAGCCTGAACATCCCTGGACACACTATCCCTGGGCAATTTAGCATGGCCTATTCCCTTAACCTGCACA